CCCAGTTTCGAGGCTGTTTTGGTATACTGAAATCCTGGTCGTCAGTACCACTCATTTCGACGCACGCCACGCCCACTGTGGGCGGGGCTCCGCTTAGCTGATGTGTGTTTTGTACTTCTCGAGACCTTGCCCACCCATCCCACACTTGACCCGGTCTCTCCAGGCGGATCCCAGGAGCTAGGGAATTTCGTGACAGACAGACACCGTGACAGACAGACAGACATAGCGCATTATATATAGTGGATAACTGTGCTCAAATAAAGTGCCTAAAGCAGCTACCGATAGCTTAACAGCGTTTGTAATGATAACGTAGAAAGGAGGTCTAGACGAGTTTTTCTGGGCTCAAACGCATCAATGCGATGAGGCTACCTATATCTATCTACCTATCGGCTATCTTATCCGCTACGTCGTAATCCACGTTGCGTAGGGCGGGCGCGAGGTATCTCGTCCGTAAGTTCACATTAGTCGCCATCAGATCACTTTGTAAGGCCCTAGCGCCATTGTCGCGCACTTTCGAGCCGCGACAACGGCACATCTGTGATACTCGTGGGCTACTCTATCCTACCCACAGAATGGATTCTTCGACACGACCTCATCTGTGACTACCTATCAGTCGATGATGTGCTGGCATGATACGAGAATACATGCGAACGAGCTTTTTTGGCTCGGAGATCAATGAGCATTGAGGGGGTTCTATTTTTCTGAGTTCCAGACCTTTTTCGTTATATTTTTACCACTGCACCTTTGACCATCTCTGCTATCATTTCCGACTGGCAGCGACGCTATTCGTGAAATCGGCCTTCAAGTGGGCAAAGCTCCACTTCTAAGGGTAGGAATAGATTAAGACGGTGGGTGTAGCTGGTGTGGTGTTCTAGAACGTCTTGGAAATCTCTAAAGTGACAATCTCATGTCAAAAGGAGCAGGGTGATGTCACTATTGTTAAAGGTGTTGCGTGCTCAAAAGCCTGAAATCCGAACCCTATACTTATAATCATCCTCAAGTTTAAGTGGATAGCAAATATATTATAGTAGCAAGCGATAGTGAATGGCCTACAATCAGATGGGCCATTGTGGAAATATTAGCTGGCGGCAAGTCGACTGCATACAACCAATGTACGGTGCGTCGTGGATCGAACGAAAAAAGATGGAAGGCGATTTTGCAAAAGTAGACTCGATTGACAGGTCTTGAGCAAATGCTGATGCGACGCATCGGTGCGATTCTGGGTGGGTGCATTGCTACTATGGAAACTCAGTGTAATCTCTCAAACGGAACCGTAGAGAGAGGAAAAGCCTGGGCTGGTAGCTTGGTTATCAAAAGCTCCAAATCAGCTTAAGCCTCGAAAACACATCAACATTTTTATAACAGTTCGTGAAATTGTTCTCGTTTCGAGGGAATCTATTCGAGCTCACAATCAGCGTTTCGGGCGAACATAAAACTAGAGACTAACGTTAGAGAAGGCTACAGTACCCAGTGAACTTCTCTGAGTGTATGCTTTGATGTATGCGATTTTTCATGTCTATTTCGCTTTCATTCTCTGTGCTGAGAAATCATTTGAGGTGACCGGAGGTGCTCAGTGAAAATGGAGTTGATGGTCACTCCAATCTGCTTTGGTAAATTCTCTAACAGAAGCACAAGGACAAAATGTTAATGACAAAGGGAGAAAGTAATGCAGGCTTTCATTCTCTATTTTCGAAGAGGTGTATTTTCATCCGAATTACCGCTCTCATTCCGAACAAAAATTATTAATTAAATTATTAACCGATTTCCCAGAAAGATGCGTTCTCAACTGACCCACCCTCGAAAAAAAGGCGCCGCTTTTTATTGATTTATATTGATGGCACAAATGACGTCGTCTAGCGTCATTTGTGCGATCAATATAAATTCGAAGGATTTCTTATCGAAAGTCCAGATGGTTGGAAAACAGGGTTTCGTTGGAAAGAGGCCCAGTGAGTGCGAGGTGTGGAGCGAGTCGTTCGCCTGTTGGTTAACTTGCGAGGTTTTGTTTATGGGACCCAGCGATATCATGAACAAGGGTGGTTTTCCTTCTCTCTGTTGACGAACTTGGTGTTTCTAGAGCATCTCATCGGTATGCTGGAGAGACATTGGTGTTGTGTTGAAATTCACCTGGTTCTCAAGAGCTGTGGTGCATCATTCCCGTGGGAGACCGCCCAATGTTCAGCTCAACTTTTAGATTTCTACTATTTCGGCTTTGAAGAATTTTTTGAAGATTGATCGCGGTCTAACTATTGATGGGATGGCTTCCTGTAGTCGTAAAGTGCATAATTTCCGTCGTATATGACAATGCATCCTAATGCTGGTACGTAAAAATGGTGGAAGCACCACCTCAGAAAGACGGCTTCGCTGCTGCTCAGTCAGCTCATGCGATAAGCACCTATTCAGCTTTTCGCCTCCCCCATTATCTTCAGGAGCCGCAACACTTCTGACTTGTTTTGTGACTTGAATTGTGGTTCGAATCCCGTGTGGGGCGAAAGTTTTGTTCACAACCCAGCATTCTTGTGACTTCTGACTTGCTTACTTCTAGTCCTACTGCTAGATAGCATGTTGGTCCGGAATCATCTTCTACGGGAATCTTCAGAAGGCCGTCGTCAACAGCAGAATCATGCTCATGACTCCCCTCACCTTCACGATGGAATTCTTGAGACCAAAATGTTGGAGCCGAGTGCTGTGCTGCGCTTTTAGAGCTTCCTTGGCCTCATCCTTCAGTGTTATTTCGGCAGGTCAATGGAAAACTACGTCAGAACATCGAAGTAAACTTGGCCAAACTACTATCTTGACGCCTTCAGTTGGAACTTATAAAAAAACCCAAGATAACAACTCTTAGTAGAATCTACAGAACGAAAGAACATACAGTAGGCTTGTCAATAATATACAGGATTTCAAGCCTCAAAAGAAAGTTTTTGTGTCAAATTATCTTTGGTATGCATGGCATCTCAAAACCCAAAAACGCGGTCCAGACTTTCTGAAGAAGTGAAATTCAGTAGTTTTTTGGCCCTTTTCATGAACTATTTAGAGCAGAACCTGTGTGAAGCGACTTCTATCAGGAGTTCTTTTATGACTCTCCTTTTCTCTCTTTTTTGCTCAGAAATATTCGACGTTGTGCAAACATTGTGACTTGGCGAGATATGAAGGGCACCTCAAGAACTACACAACCGTGAAAACACCTTTTCAGACACTTTTGTTGTCAAATTATCGCATTGATTGCTGTTTCCACAATAGCCTGAGCTAAGATGCTTCTGAATTTGAGTGAAGGGCGAGTTCGTCGGCTCACAATAGCTCACAACTTCAACCACAGCACTCACGTTTTTGTATTCAGTTCACCTGCGACGCAAAGAAAAGAGTTCGCCTGATGGGTCAACGCTTGATTGATGAAAGGGTAAAGGATAAATTTGAGGAATAAGGATACATTTGCCGTTGATCAATCCCTTTTTGGGATGCGGCACGCATTCTACTTCCATTTGTACATTCGTAGTGGCGTTTGAATGCGATGTGGCCTATACAATGACTTGCGGGGCCAGCCAGCCGATGTTCAAGTCAGTGTTTTTATCCTCCCAGCCAAACCGACCCCGGAGAGGTTAAAGGCTTGGTTGGTTTGGACGACCCAGAAATCGATCGCATGACTGTGCGCGTGGTAATCGTGCCACTTGCCATTACATCACTGCCGCCCTTAGAGTATCAATAATAGCGCACAAAATTCCTTACATATCCCGTTTTCCTTGTCGTCTTCGTTCGTACAATCAGGAGTCGTGCGGGGTTTATTTTTCCTAGGCGCCCCTCTGAATACCAAAAAAGGACCGAAGAAAAATTTCTTACGGAACTGGCGTTCTTAACTTCTTTAGCAGCTTTTCAGCGAAAGTCTAAGTATGTTGGTGATGGTCCTGATTGCGTTTGTGACATAAGTTGTTTACGCTGACGCTATTTTTCGCGAATTTTGAAACCAACACAAAATGCAAAAAATTGTCACTGCGAGGATTCGAACCACGGACCACTTCATCACCCCTTTTTTGGTATTCAGAGGGCCGCTCAGGAAAAATGAACTACAGTTCTGTGTTCCATGCACGTACCCCTATATCATGCAAAAAACCGTTTCGAGAAAGCTGGGGACCTTCTGAAGGACCTTCCCTAGGTCGTCGATGGGCGTGGCCGTCCACGATAAGCGCAGCTCATCTGGCGAAATGGGTTCTCAAGACCTTCGAGTCTCAGAATTTAGCTGCAGCTGACAAAGTGGTACTACAGGTTGAACTCTTAAGAATACATTCAGCTTGTAGATTTAAGTCGTCCTTGAGACTTGAACGAATAAGCTTCTGCAGCGATGCAGCGATGATCTCTTTTTGGACACAGTGAGCATTTCTCTACCAGTGGTATATTTGTCTGCGATAGTCTATAGAGACGCAAATCGAGTCCAGCCAATTTACAGATCTTTCTACGTTCATTGAAAAGTTTGAAAATTGCAGCTAAGAGCCAACTAGTCCACCTCAGTGAAATTGAATGTTTAGCTAGGCTGGGCTTGATGCCAAGGTCACGCTTATGCCACTGACTCTACTTGCAGGCTCCGCCCTTTTATGGCTGCAGAGAAATTCCTTCCTTTGTCATGTACCGTCTTCTGCAATGCCGCTTAGGTTATTAATCACAGGGTATCACTGCGTGCACCATTTAATTTGCACGAACTGCTTTTTAGTGATTCTCCGTTAGACAACTCATCAGTCATGAAGACATTATTGCGACAGACGTGGCCAGCGTTGTTTAGTTTCTTCCCTTTTACATCTTATTCTCTCTCCCACGCCCACGTTCACTCGTTCTTATCTGTATAACTTCGACGGCGGGCAGCGCTCAAATCACCTGCCTTCAGGAATTCCAGGGCCCTCGGCTCGCCCCGGCCCCGCGCCGCGCGCCCGCGGCGCCGGTCGGCCGCCCGGCCGCGCGCCCCCTGTCGCGTTTCGGCATTTTGCTCGTCCATCCACATCGACATGGACGAATGGACGACGGTGCTGCTGCTCTTCTGCTGCGCCACGCTCACCATTCTCTACAACGTCTCCCAATGGTGCCATTATATTCTGAGAATCTCATTCTTCTACTTGTGCATATTTCTTCATGGCATCGAATGCAATATCACGATGATCCCCTCCTGGATTGCCGGTAATGTGAGTTCCGCATTCTCGCAACATCCTCCTGGAACATGTAGAAGTTGCTTTTTCCAGTGTTTTCGTTGAATTACTCTTTTCGATTATTCAGAGAATTGCTTCCCTTCAGTGGAAATCTCAGTCGTTGAACAGAAACTAATACTTTTGGCAAAAAATGAGCTGTCTATTCCAGTTAGAAGGGGGGCATGCGGTTTAGAGCGCTCAACAAGTTCAAAACCACTAGTATATTCCCCAATGTAAATGTTCAGGACTCAGCCTCAAGAAGGGAGGAAACCCCGGGTTCGTGAGCAATCTTTGCGCTTTCTCGGGAGGGGTTTCCTCCTCCTTCCTAGGCTTAGTTCTAACTTATCACTAGGTAAATATTACTTCTCATTGAGGTTTATGTTACAAAGCACAGAACGCATACATTATACAGGAACTAGAAGAAACAACGTAGGACAAAAGCTGATAGTACTTCGACTTTAAAGGACTCCTTGAGCCAACGTATAAGCAGACTGGCACCGCAAGATGGCCCAAATGAATAAGACCCAAATGAGTTCGTCACAGATTGCTAATCGTTGATGATTGTGATTTTTAGTGATTCTGTTTGATGGATTGCAATTTAGTTTTCACCAATAGCATCAAGTGGAACAAAAATGAACAAACCTTTTCAAAGGGCCTTGACCTTGCTTCTGTTAAAAATAGTGCTCAGTCCCAAAACCTTTCCAGTCAACACTTTTTTATATTGGAACGAAATAAACAACTGACTGATACTGCAGAACCTTGCTTTTACAAAAGCCTTGAAGCTTTTAGGATTTTCTGCAATACTTCGGTGTTCGCTACTTGTCGCCGCTAGATATAAGTAATATTACGTGCTGCTTTTTTTCGTCACGAATAAAGGCAGGCTTCGCAATATAGGAGAACAGGGTAGAGTTAGCGGACTTCGAGTATGAAAAGGAAGTATATGGCAGTTAAGAAAGGGGAAAGGGAATCGGGAAAAGCAGCCTGCCTGACATAGCGCTATTAGGACGGACTTCTGTCACTACAAACTTAAGTCTTGTTATGACTATCGCTTTTAAAAAAGTCATTCTCGCTCATACGTCCTCATATACTTTGAATAACTATACGAACGTCATAGATTGCTTACTACCTAACTATTTTAGGTCGAGACGTTAACCTTTTGAGAGCCTTTTAATACTGTCCTATTCAATTTATTCCTACTGCTTTGAGATTTTGCAGCCTTGCACATCAATATGATAAATTCTAAAATAAATAACAGCTATGGACCATTCAAAAAAGGGGCGGGGTTATAACGCGTCTCATGTTTGAAGTCTTCCTCCGACTACCGCCGTCCGCGCATGCTTGTGAACCAACAGTTGCAATGTTGATTTAAGCCACTTCAAAGCAGCTGCGCGTCTCGCTGTCAACAATGTGCTTTTTTGGAACTTAGCACTGAAACAAGAGTACAATGGGAACTGGAAGGGAGTATCAGCCGGCAACAGCCTGTCGGCACCCTCTAAGCGAGATAGGGGCAACATTGGCGCAAATCAAGAAGCCCGAATACGATGTGCTACAGGAAGTAGGTGATGCCACTTGAACACCCGAACCCACCATCAGTGCAGCAGCTGCCGCGAAAACGATCAACAATTCGTACCACGGCTTTTATAGTTAGGTGGAGCGTGATCTATGAAAATAAAGCAGACAACTTGGGGAGAGCTGCGCATTACGCATGTCCGAAAATAGGTTTCTCAGTCGAGATTTCGTTGGATCAGGCCTACCCCTTTTCGTATAGCTTCCGAATGCGCGATTTCTTGTGAGTCTGTCTTCCGCTAATAGGGGTCATTCCTTATATTCGCTGCGCCTTTCTTGAAACCTGGGCATTGGTTTTAAACAGTTGTGTAATCTTTTTGTGCCACACAGGTTTTGTACGATGGAATCTTTATTGGGCTTGACGTTTCGACTAGCTCGTCGTTATCAAAAGCCTGAAAGCGTTATACGGCATTCAAATTGTTACCTATATCGCGTTGATAATAAGCATTTTGCGCATGAAAATGAACTGCTACCCTTTCACCATTGAAAAACCATCAGATACATAATACGTCATAATCAAGCTTAAAGCAAAAAGCATGCAAATAATGAAGAGTAGAAATCACAACGATGAGAGAAATAAAATTTTTTCAAACTTTTGAATCGCGCATCGCTTGATCGCGCATTCATCAAGTGTGCCATACTGGGCACTATGTTCCGTCGCGTGAGACAATGGCACCCAATGGTGGGTGCCACCTTAAAATTTCCTACTTTGTGCATTTTAAACATTTGTAACACCCCAATAATTATAAAGCAAGTTCCATAATATCTATGGCTAGCATGACTTACAGAAATGTTCACTAAATAGCTCAAGTTAACAAAATATAGAATGCTACAGAGCCGCCACCATTTTATTGGGATTCAATTATAGGGGCCGAAGATTTATATCACTAATCACAGACTTCTTCGTCTTCTCATAGCCTTTAGATATGGGAAAGGGTTTGAAGTTGTACCGGAATTCTCTTGACACTAGAACTTTTAAAGGTTTTGCCCTCCTTCCCTTTGAAACGCGAGTTCCCGTCCAAATTTGGAATTCTCTTGAAAATAATTACAGTATGAAAGCCTAGAACTGCAGTTATAACTGGTATACTGTTAGAGAAAATTCTACAGAAAACTGCTTTGAAGGACAATTTTGCCTAATTTTGAGCGAGAGTTGGGCGCGCCAAAAACAGGCGTGGTCCCACGAGCAAGCTACGTGCAAATCCGCATTGTCGTCAAAGGGTTAATATCTCGTTAAGAATGACACTGTTGTTAGGGACGCTGTCGCAAAAACGACAACCGTGAAGGAAAGGCCCTGGGCAAATGAAGCTGTTCCTCAGGTTTAGGAGTTACGAAATGTGTTTACTACAATGCAGCTTCTGTCAACTGGTCATGATCATATAACACCTTTCAATCGATTCTGCAACTTCGAGTGAGGTCGGATGCATGGCCTATACCAGACAAAATCGGATGATGACGATTGCCCTTTTTTATCGCTTATGTTGGAGAATGTATTCTAGACACATTTCGAGAGTTGCCAACGAATTAACTTGCAATGGTGAAGAAGGGAGCGGCTTTTTAGGTGGCCGAATCCGTCCTTGATAGATACTCGACGCAAATATCTCTTCAACTAGAAAATGTAGAAGAAAGCAAAACAGACTGTTAGAGCGCGACCATCCGCTTTTTGAAACCTCTTTTTTCATAATCTTACAAAATTAGAGATGTTCCTTACATAAGGCAACCAACACTCCATGCAAATTCACGCTTATTGACGCGCACTCGACGAAATTGTTCAGATACCCTATCTCTCCGAGTGTAAGGCTCTTTGAATATCAACTTCAATAGAGCAGTAGCAACGGAGCAGTAGCAAACCGTAGCTCTATCTATCCTAGAACCTTTCATAACGAGAGTGTAGATTCCGATGTACGACGGGGTTACCAGGAAATGTAATGCCAGGGTACCGCACTGCAACTGCATGCTTTGCGCCACATTAATGGAACTCTCTTATCACCACAACAAAACTGGAGGGGTTTATCGGACCCCAATTTTAAGGGGGGGGGAGGGGGAGGAGGGAGATCGTATTGCACATATCGATGAGTGCTATTGAGGAAACTATGACAACGCTAGAGATGTTAGCGAGGATAGATACGCGGAGAGAACAAAATCCAATACATATATTGTTTATTTGATATTTTCTTTGCTTCATACTATATCTTATAGTTCAGGGAGGCGATCTCATTTTCCATACGTTCAAATATTGGACGCTTTGGACGGGAATAAATGTGGATGTGCGTGGCTTCGAGGAAAATCTTGAAAAAATTCCCGACTGTGCTGTGGTCATCTGCAATCATCAGGTGCTTCAATGGCGTAACTTAGAAAATCGTTCACGTTCGATTATCTGACCATTTGAAACAAGGAAACTACTGAGTCCTCTCAACTTCATTTTGGCAGCCATATATAATTTTGGAACTACTCGTGTCTTCATAATGTCCAGAAACTTTTCGCTGAATGGCTGATCGGGAGACCACTACGTTGTGGCAAAATCTAATGAGAAGTGAGAGTTGGTTACAGAGGGAAGTGAAGCCTAACGTGAGCGCGAAGTTTCGCAAACATCTCCGGGCAACCGATAGATTGTAAAAAAATGATCGTAAATAAACCAATAGTGTAAATGAGGCGGAAATGGAGGATTACTATAAGTGGCGTTTATTAGGTATAACTGGGGATGTGGAGAGCAATCCTGAGCCTCAGAAGGCTCAGCGACATAATTAAGGGTACACACAGATCACGAGTGTTTTGCTGAAACAGCCTTCGCCGAAAGCTGTTTATTCCCTTGAATTTTTCTTCAGTATTTCTCAATTCATAAAGTTGAAACGTTTCACATTCAACGCAGGTCCGTTTAGAGCGCTCTGGACGTAGTGTCAATGACTCGAGTATGGCCACCACGTGGAACCGTAATGATGAAAGAATCTCTTAAATACATACCCTTTTTCAATCTGACCAGTATTTTTGTGAGCACGCAGGACAGTTATTTCCTTTTGTCTTTAACTAAACAATACTATAACTACCTGACAGATGTACTATAATACATTTTGTGATAAAAATAGTCAAATTTAGTCATCCCTTAGGCAAACGCAATTTTTGTGAAGCGGTTCAAACGCGGCCGGGTGTCCGATACTATTGAACGATGCGTGAAACAAATGAAGAAGTTCAACTTGAAGGTGAGAGCGGTGGTTTTATCTTTTTTGTAACCAGTGTCATTGATAACTAAACCGTGAGAGTGATTAACTGCAAAGTAATAGTTAGGTTGGCATTCCCAGATAATTTCGATTTCATTTCCTGGTGCCTTAGTTTACAGGGTGGGGCAAAAGTATTACTGCTGGAGCAAACCTTATCTCTTCCTTGTCTCTTCCGAGAAGATATAATACAAAAAATCGATATTAATTTTTATATAAGTTGGTAGAGGGAAAAGTCACAGAGTCAGAATATACCCACTCATAGTCGATGTTCTCCATCAGTCGGAATACAGAGCTGAAACCAGCGGGAAAGCATCCATGAACTGCGCCCATAAGGTACTCGTAGTTCAGTGATCTTAACACATTGGCGAAAACCACACGCATATGCCAGTCAAAAGGTAGCATGCCCTCCCTCTTCACATGTTTTTTTTCTTCGTGTTTCTACTATAGACAACGCAACATAACTATGGACCACATGGCCACCAGAACAGACGACTATATTTTGATTCAGCGATGATTTTCCAAGCCTTGCAGGATTTCTAATTCAACTCATTTTCAGTTCTCTTATCATAGTCACAAACATTTGCATAAAAGACTATAGTAGAAGTAATGAATTCGGAACTCTTTGAATGGCAAAATAGCGGTTGCCTAGAAACTTCCCGCCGATTTCCACCCTCACTCTTAGTGTAGTAACCATTCCTTGATTTACCGCTTCCTTTCCAACCCTGATCCGATGAATGAAGAATTTGGGGCTGCTCTATGTGCAGATGTCAAGAACGCTGCGAAAATTCCTGTCTTGAACTTTCTCCTGATAACCCAGGGGAGGGGTGGGGGAGAGAAGGTTGTTTTAATTGGCCGATATCATAGCTTGCGAATCGCTCGATTGGTTAGTGAATCGCTGGATACGAGCGTTGCGTCGGCTAATCGAACTTTTCGAGTCGCCAGCGAATCGAACCGGGCCCCAGCGAAACGAACTGGTACCAGCGAGTCGACACTGTTCAAAGCGACGAGACTTCCTTCAACCGTTAGGTCCCGCCACTTCCAAACAATGTCGAGTCGCTGGTACACCGTTCGACTCGCTGGTCGATCGCTGGCGCAAAGTTCGATTCGCTGGTGCAACGTTCGATTCGCTGGCGCAACGCTCGGATCCAGCGAATCGCTCGATTCGCAAACTCTGACATCGGCTATAAGGCTGGCGCTCCATACTACGAAGATTTGAGTGGCGTTGCATTTTACGCAGATATGAGCAGTATTCGGAACTTCGAGCAGGGATCTTTCAAGGAAAGCGTTTCAAATGAACATAAAATTTGAATTGAGACCTAGGTTAATCGATAGAGCCTGGAATGGTGGATACAAATGCGAAGACCAAAATTGCTACGTGATCTTGTCAAGGATGTTGTTAGCGATTAATCTGGGCCCAAGTTCGATTCCCCGTGGTCACAAAACTTTGCACTCTACGTTCAGATTGGTTCAAAATGGTGTCAGCGCTGCAAATAGATGATGCTATCTTCGTTATGGAGCCATTATCCCTCGCAAGTACGGCTTTAACTAATGTCATTATATGCACGATACATTACCATCCAGCTTTGACGGCTCACAATTTCCATGACAAGTTCGCGTAGCAGTTTGGCTTTTCATATTTGTAACCAGCATTCGGGCCACTATCGATTAACATAGGTCTTATCGTTAGATCAGTGTTTCATGGGAAGTTGAAACACTTTCCTGATTAGATGATAAATTTTGAGAGGGTGGGGATCAGGGTCAACCCTCACGCTCGCCCTTTTCTAAGAATTTTGCGAGAGGTGGTCTCGATGCGATCCCCACCCCACCATTAGTCTAGAAGGCTCCCCCAATACGATACCCCTTCCCCTCTCCCCCATCCCCTGCCCTCACCATCATGGCTAATTCTATAGCATTTGATTCTGAGACCAATCGACGCAACCAAACTCCGCCTACTTTTCCACTGAAAAGGTCGTTGAGCTGGGGTGGGGTCAATTGGTATCATGAAACAGCAAATCCACCAATTTTCCTTAATTCTACCTAACTCATACCATTCGCTAAAGCCACTGCGCGCCAATGTCGAAAAAACAGCCCATTGGCAAAACACCTAAACCCTACCCGACAATCGTCAACCTCCGTTCCCACTATGATAAACTTGCCCAAGCCCAAAAAACCACCTCCTTCCTTATATCACAAATCTGAATGCAACCCCCTATTTAATAGTGCGAACGGACGGTTGTTCCTTTTGGCGATAGTGCGAGAATTCTCCGTGAAGTTTGTTGGTTTTGCATATACCATCAGATATCGAATGGAGTAATCCAATAGAATATGCAAATTTAAAAGTCCTTACTTTCTCGAATAAATCGAAAAAAAAGCATGCTATGTCTTGATACGATGGCGATTTGATGTGCCATTTCTTCTGCGCAGCAGTTTACTGATGAAAGGATATGGACCCCCAGTCCCAACTGTCAGCACACATTCACTCTAATATGGATTTTCCAGATCTGGATTTTCCCCGAAGGAACACGAAATCATGCTGATGGCATGCTACCGTTCAAAAAAGGAGCATTCAACATTGCTGTTCGGGTAGGCCACTTAATCACACCTCTCTCGGACCAGCGCCTCTAAATCCATTATAATTTGTTTCAGGGTGGATTCCCGATTGTACCGATTGTTCTGTCAAATTACCGTCCATTCTACTCGAAAATTGATCATTACTTTATGTCTGACGGCGAGGTGATCGCACAAGTGCTCAGTCCGATAAGCACCAAAGGGGTATGCTGTCGGAATTTCTTGATAAATTTATGGAGCAAAAAGCGAGTGCAACCGAGTGTGAACCGAAAGCAATCATGAGTGCCAGAGAAAGTTCATATGCTTCATTGGGGTGTTAGCTTTGAACACTCTGAGGTGGGTGCTTGCCTAAAATCTCTCAGAATTCCAAAAAGATCGCGTCAAGAGAGGAAGCAAAAGATGGCATGCTGTAATTGCAGGCCGTAGAAATGCAGGTGCATTGACCACCATTACCACTGTCTTTTAATAATCCTACTATATATAATTCGCTAAGTATGTCTGTCTGTGTGTGTGTGTGTCTGTGTACGTACGTCCGTCTGTCACGAAATTCATAGCGCGCTTCGCTGCAGGCATGGAGCGCTGTATTTTGAGTATGTGTAGGGGGACGGAACATATTTGGTGGGGAAAGTGATACGACTGATAAGATCTGATAAGAGGCGCTGAAACGCAAATTTCACGAAATTCATAGCGCGCGTCCCAGCAGCAGTGGGGCGTTGGTTCCAAGAAGTGATGTACAGAGTGGGACGGGAACATGTTACGGTGAGGTACAGGAGGTGATAAGGGCCGATAATCACGTGGGAACATATGGATCGCTTAAAACCGTGGTTCTAGATAACGCATTTCACTTCAGTATCATCTCATTGCGTTGTTGTCATCAACATAAAATACCGTTCGACCGCTATATTCCCAAAATCCCTAAGAATGTATGATGGATGTTTAGCGATATACGATAATGGGTATTTCTATTGCAAAATCATTGGCATCAATATTATTCGACCGCTAAATCATCCTGACATCCAATGCATGGTGGCTGTTTACAGACACCACTTTAGCTCCGCACTCCACCGCGCGTATCAGACGGTTGGGTTAAAAATGGGCATTCTGTAGAAGGCCAGCTAACGCATTTCACGAAGCAAGTTATTGTTTAGCGGCGGAACCTAACGCTCCTCCGGCTGGCCAGCTTTACGGAGCCCTTCCGTGTCATGCACGCGGTAGTGTGCGGAGCTAAACTGGTATCCATATAAGAAGGTCGGTAGATCCACCTCGTGAGTGGAGAAGCCGGGTCCGCAATGTGGAGGTCGCGACAACTCGGCATCTCGAAACGCTTCACAAAGGCGCTAGTCGTCCGCGCCAATGCTCCGGCGCCAGGGTGAATAACGGTCGAGGAAATCCTCGACCATGGCTCTGTACTGTGCGAGAGTAGTGCCGAGAGTGAATGTACGCGCGGAGAGCACAGACGGCTCGCGCGTGGCGAGAGTGAATGTCCGCGCGGAGAGCGTGACTGAACAGGCGAAAATCCTCGACGTGCCGTCGACGAATCCTCGACCGATTTTTACCATTGCTTGAGCCGTACCTGCCTATCGTTCGATACATTCTCCTTGTCGTAATGTTGACTAGGGGTGCTCCCTCGACTTGGGTTTTTTTCCCTTTCGGCGACTCACATCATCTCTTGTATCTCTCTCTTATGGTGCGAGTTCTTCGCAGCGTAGAACAATGAAGTTTCTGTGTTTTGATGATATTTCCTCCTTTTTCCTCGTGGTCCATGTCACATCCTACTTTCATATTCGGGTGGGATTACCACATCAAATGATCCTGACACTTGCCTTTAACTTCTCCTAGGCATTGCCTTGAGAAGCAAGGTTAAAACGATGAGGCTGTCATGGACAAGTATTCCAAGTTGCATTGTTTGCATCTATTGCAACACTGCACAATGCCACGAATTCAAAATTTCCCTATTTTGAAAAGACGCATGTCGAAGGAAGTCGGCCCTGATTCTCCATACCCTCAGATCATCGCGAAGGTCCTGCCGGTACCCAGCATGCTTACCAAATCTCTTTAAAAAAATTAAGCTTGTCTTAGAATGCGTAAAATGCATGATCCAAATGGACGTCTGCTAGAAAATCTCTGTATCAGCGCACATATTCATTAATTTCGATTTCATCAGCGATTCGTTTTTCTTTTTTTTCGAATTAGGTGAAATTTTAAGCATGACTAAATTTAGAACAGTGGAAGGACCCAATAACAATGTTTGTTTTGCAGCTAACAGAGGAGGATGTTCCTAAACTTTCGGAAAAAGTTCGGTCTATGATGCTAGACGTCTACTACGACATCAGCAAGGAGGCCGCAGAAAAGATGAGAAGGAAACGACAGCAGTCCTGAAAACTCTCTCACGCGCTGTCTTCAATTCCGCGAAGCAAGGCTGTCACAGTTGGGGATTAATTAGCATATGTACGTATCGTAAAACAGTAAATGAGCTCTCGATACTTTTGATGCTATTCGATGCCATGTATTTTTTTGAAAGTCTTTGATGTCACACTACGAAATCCGCAACAGCGACGTGTTTTGCCTCGGGAAACAGGGTTTACAATATTGATAGTGTAAAAAGAGGTACAAGTATAATTGAAGCGTAATAAATCGGAATGCAAGCAAATCTATTCTCATACCTTTGCGTTTCCGGAATGACAAGCTCTAAATGTGACGAGGATTTGGACGAAAACCATTTGTTTATTCCTACTAATGTGGAAAAACAGATGTTCAGATAGGCTTTAGAGTAGTGTATTCGTGATTTGACCCACATTAAGGAAAACACTAACTGCTAATGAGCCACGATAGTAATAATATTAGGTTGGAAAGAAAGTCCTGCAACACTTTTTCAAATTTTTGATTTTAATTTTATCTTTTTTGGTTACAACTCCTGACCGGTCTTATATCTACCATGAGTGTCCACCACTTGTCTTCAACGCTCAGAAAATTTCTTGATGCTCCTTTGCCAAAACCCAGCGGAGTGCGGGTCGAGAAAGGAGGCGACCTCACTTTCGAGTTGGAGTTGATCGTCTAATTATTTCGTCATCAAGATGATGATTAAGGTCCAGGATAGGTGGCAGTCATTTATAGCTCGACCAGGGGAATACGCTAAGAGAGGTAAGAAATCTTGCCGCAGCTCCAGAATTTCTTACCGGGCTCATTTCGGATCATGGTGATTCGCAATGTCATGAAAGAAATAAATATTGTCGCGGTACGAGGGCTCCTGACGAGCTGCCTCGGCCAGCTTCTGGAGTTCCGCAGCCTAGACCTCTACCTACACAATGGTGCCCATAACGAAGAATTTGTAGTGGAGCTTCCGTAAGAGCCCTACCTGTAATGGAGTGTGCGGGACGCTGCTGGCTCTTATAAAAATATCAAAAGATCGAAAGCGCTGGTAAAGGTGAAACACGCTGTAGCGGTGAACGACATGCCTATTGAAGCTATTGCAGATAGTGTTGGTCGTTGACACGAATCCATAGTTTTGGAGACATTTGTACTAGACAGTGACTCGGAGTATGGATTTACTAGTGGTCGAGGTTTTTTGAATTTTCTTGGATAACTACTGACTGCAGCACTTATATCCACCTCGTGGATTAAAGCCTCGAGAATGCTCTACCATTTGTTAGTCATAAATGTTACCTATGAATTTTTCAGAAAAAAAGAAAATTTTAGAAAGAGTGTTGCAGAACTTTCTTTCCAACCTAATACTAGACAGATTTCTATTCAGCGTCCGAAGATGCATCGGGCTCTGGGCGACTCATTTCAAATTTCTGATCACCCTTTGTCTGCCACCAAAACCCATGAGCAAACCCACAAAGGCATACTAGCGTCTGGCAGATGAATGGTCCAGGACGATTATTCTTATGCTATAAATTCTTTTTTTGAAAACTGAAAGTCATTGAATGCGTGTTTAGCGCAGAAAACGATTTGCCAGGAATGACCACACCTCAAATCAGCGTCTCCGTTTTTCCACGAGTTGGTCGTGAAGTATATGTTGACTAGCTTATGACAAATATGAGTATATAGTTACATAGTTTCATCATGGTACAACGGTCATACAGACGAGATCTGCATTCGTGAGCGCGAGAGCAGTGACGGCAACGGCACAGACACGAGCTGTTGGAGGCCACAGGATTTT